TTATAAAAATTCATTATTACCCAGATTTGAATATACGTGTTAGTAGAAGCTGCGTGGCCTGAATGTTTGCTTGGGTATTTGAAACACTAGTTTCTGAGGAACACATGTGAGTAAATAAAGATAGATTATTAATACATATTAAAGTTTGAACCTATTTATTTCAGAAAAAGTAAAATATTTTACAGTTATAATACATACTTGTAAAAATTCATATATAACAGCGATTAATAAAATGTAAAGTTGATGTCCCTTTCCTCCTATCTACCTATTACCCAGTCTCACTATTAACAGTTTGGTTAACAACTCTCCAGTGCAGGCATGGAGGGGCTGGAGCTATAGAGGCAAACATGACCAACAAAGTCCCTGCCTTCATGGGGCTTACATTCTAATGGGAGAAGACAGACCATAAGCAAGGAAGCAAACAAATAAAACCAAGCCTGGGAAGTTTGCTTTATGTATAGACTGAGATCCAAATAAAGAAAATCAGTTTTGAACTTTTTGGGAAGAGCCTTTCAGGCTGACTGACTAATAGGCGCAAAGGGCCAGCGGGGGAAAAAGGGAGCTGCTATGGCTGGTACTTTGCATGTCAAAGTGAGTTCCAAGATGGGGGGAGGGGCCAGATCATGTGTGCACGACTGGATAGGAAGTTCAATTTCATGCTAAATACAAGAGAGGCCATTAAAAGTCCCTAATTGCAGGGAGTTGCAGGAGAGGAGCGAAGAGCATCTGATTTTCATTTTTGTAGTAGTGGGGGCAAGAAATGGAAGTCTGCAGACAGATTGGAAGAGGTTCATTCACACATACAAACATATAGAGTTAAAAAAATATATATACTATTCCTACAACTTGTTATTGGTATACATTTTTAGAACTACTCTTTGAAATTATGTTCAGAGTCAGTTTACTGTCTTAGAAAATCAAACATCTTGTTTTTTGACCTTTCCCTATCCACCCAAATGCTGTAACTTATTTGGCAAACACAAGTTTTGCATTTTAACATGGCTCCAGAATGTGTTCATCAGATTTGGCTCTTAATAACCTTTGGATAGTTCCAAAAATCAGATTTATTCTGAAAGAAAGAACTATTTTCAACAAATTCAGTAACTACTGATGTGATAACTTTTTGAGAAGCATCATTGGAATATGTATACAGCCTGCTAATGTGATTGGAATGAAAAACATTTATTTGAAGTTCCATTCATTTATTCACCAAATAATTATTGAGCACCACCAACTAAGTACCAGGTGCTGTTTTAGGCACTGAGGATACATCAATGAACAAGCAAACAAAATCTCTGTCTTTGCTGGGCTTACATTCTAATAAAGAGAAATGGACCAAACAAACAAACAAACAAAATAAGTAAACTCTATATTATGGTTGAAGATTATATAAAAGCAAGGTAGGAAATTTGGAAAGCTGATGAAGTTTCCAATTTTAAATAATGTTGTCAGGCTGGGCCTCACAAAGAAGGTGACTTTGAGTAGACTAGAAAAGGGAGAAGTAATACAGATGCTAAGGGGAAGAACATTCAAACAAGGAATAGCTAGTGCAAAGTTCCTGAGGCAGGAATGTGCCTGGCAAGGTTGAGGAACAGTGAGGTAGCTAATGGTTAGTTGAGTAAGGGAGAGAATTGCAGAACATGACATCAGAGAGGTAAGGAGATGAAGGGCAGGTCATAAGAACCTTCTAGCCATGGGAAGAATTTTTGCTTTAACAATGAGTGAGGGGGCCCAAAGCAGAGATGTGACATGATATAAATTATATTTTTTAAAAATTACTCTAACCCCTGTGATATAACCAGTATAGAAAAGAATAAGGAAGTTTTGATGTGTTTTTGAAAACAACAATCTGATACTCACATTCCCTTAATTTCGCTAAAAGAGGGTAGAATGGCCAAAGAAAAGCATTTTAAAAAATTCCAGATTATATCTTTCTGCTTTATCTTTCCTTACCATAGCAAAGTACTATCAAACACAATATAATTCCTATAGCCTTGTGCTAAATGTGTCCTTAGACTATTTTCATTCTGCTGCCAAATTCTTTATCTTGTCCTATATATCAGTAAGGATCTTCTTGGCTGCAAGTAACTGAATACCTGACCCAAAGTGGCTTAAGCAATAGGCCATTTACTAGCTCTTGTGTGAACAGTCTGGAGGTGTAGAGAAACAGGGTAGATTAATTTAGTCACTCAGTGACGTCTGGGTTCTGGGTTGCCTTTCCTGTATTTCTTTTTTTCTTTTCTCTCATTGTTTTGAGATGTGCCACCATAACTTTAAGGCAGGAAGTAAGGAAAAGACTTCTTAAGGGCTCTCAGGGATAAAACCGTTTTCCTGAAGCCATCTCCTCACCCCCACTTCCTTTTATGTACTCACCAGAATTAGGTCACCTCCTCAGCTCTTAAAGCAGTCATTGACAAAGGGGAGAACACCTGAAGACAGGTTTACATCAGTGGTTCTCAAAGTGTAATCTGAGGAATCCTGGGAGGGGGGATCCCCAAGACCATCTCAGGCAGTCTGCAAAGTCAAAACTATTTTTATTATAATACGAAAATATAATTTTTCACTCTCATTCTCTTATGAGTGTACAGTGGGGTTTTCCAAAGGCTACCTGAGATAGTACAACAGACTGCAGCAGATATAAAAATCCTATTGCCTTCCATTATGCCCGACATTAAAGATATTTGCTCAATTTTTAAAGTAATACCACTTTTTTTGTTACTTTTTTGGGAATTATAGTTATTTTCCACTAAAATGTTCTATTTATGTTAAGATGTAATTTTTATTTTTTAAATAAATGTTTTTAAATTTCTCGCTTTTAATTTTTAGTGTGGTAAATATCAACAGTTATAACCCACATAAATGAAAGCTTTACGGGGCCCTCAATTTTTAGGAATGAAAAATAGGTCCTAAGAGCAAAAGTCTAAAAACTGCTGATTTATTGAGACAGGTTTGATTCATTTTTGGAGCTAGGCTTGGGGTCAGACTTTCCAGAGCTCACCTCAGCCTGAACCAAACCTTAAAATCTGACTTTGTAAGTGGTTAGGTCACAACAGGGTGTGCTAAACGTTGCTTATTAAATTCATTGATTTAAACTCCTCTATCTAATCGGACAGTGAGCGCCTGCATTTTAACTAAAAGGGGGTGAAATGGTCAAAATGAAGCCTCAGGTGTTATTTCAAAGAAAAAGCATCACATTACGTTGCTTTTTAAGATGGGAAGGGGTGTGGGTTTTGGGGGCGCGGTGGACAGATGAAATTTTAAAACCCCTCTAGGGAGCAGGGTTAACCCCCTCCCCACGCCACCAACCTCCATCAGTAGTCTGGGTTAGGGAATAAGGTAATCAATCATTGATAATAATTGATTTCTTCCTCCAGCCCTGCGCTAATAGCGTCCTTAACGGGTTATAAGCCTTAACCGGTTATTTGATTGTCATTCATCTAAGTTCAACAGCTTCTAGCCGGGCCTCCTGATTGCTTAGGCCAAGGGCAAAGAGGATGATTTCGTTGGACTCCGAAATTGTCATCACGGCGTCCTCATTTTCTCGCCTTGATCTTTTATCCAGAATTGGGGATATGTGCAGGTAAATTGGGAGGGAGGCACTTCTCCTTCTCTTGTTCATTGTTAACATTTCTTGTTCTTGTCTCATACTATTGCGGTGTTTGGGTTTTAAAGTGCTCTCAGGAGCCTCCTTAAAATACCAAACTCGTTTTTCCCCTCTTGAGTAAATCTCTTGGCTTCACATGCCAATAAAATAAATAAAATAAAATAAAATAAAAGTAAAATAAAATTATCAAAGTACATCTTTGTGTTTATAACAAGTCATATGCCTGCGATTTCTCCATCTGATATCTTTCCTTTCTTTCGCCTCCTGTCTTTCTTCCCCGGAGAATTTTAGGCTGACATAGAGAGGAGGAGGAGCAGCTTTGACCTGGTCTGGGTTTACATTTTCTTTTCATGCATTTTACTGGGTGGGTGTGGAACATTTCTGCATAAAGTTCTCGTTCATGAGTGCCATTTCTTAGTCTTCCCGCTCTCTCCCGCCTAGGTCATTTTCTTTGCCCTAATTTTATATGTAACTTTCTCCCGGTTAGGTTGTTTGCATCCACGATTCCCGATGCTTGAACCTCCTTTCCCCTGGGCCTGACCTAATTCTGGGTGCCGGCTGTTGTTCGGTTTATTTCTCCACTTTTGCAAACGCACGTGACTCTCCAGGGAGCTTCAGTTTTGCATCTAGGGAGGGTCCTGCGGTTCACTGGGGCTCGGAACACGTGCTTTGATGCATCCACGACCTCCTTCCCCCACGGAGGCTGGGGCCCCGAGCTCTGCAACGTGAAGGGCGGGGAGCAGGGCCTGGCCGGCTGAATAACAGGACGTAACAGGTGCCGCAGCCGCAGCTGCGCCCGCATCTCGCTGGGCTCTAGGGATAAGGTTTTCTTTTCCTTCGGGTTTTTTTGGAGGTGGGGAACGAGACTCCGGAGGCCCCCACCGGACCAATGCAGGCCGCGGTTGTTCATCGCCTAGCAACTGGCGGAGCCAATGGGAGGCAGCCGGGCCTGCGGCGCTAGCGGCGCAGGGGCGGGGTGGGAACCTGCGAACCTGCGGGAGCCCGGAGGCGGCCGCGAGGGGCGGAGCGGGGCCCGGCAAG